CTGCACATCTTTAAAATGGGGCCACAAGTTGGTGCTCCCTCTTAGGGTTAAAGCCAGGGTGAAACGAGGTAATTGAGGCCCAATGTCTTGCATATTCCTAATACTCCGTGGAAACTGGAAGCAGACCAAACGCCCAGGAGCAGGAGGGCTGGGCAAGTCCACTGTCATGTCCTCCCGCCCATGGAGGATTCTCAGTGACCACGAATGGACCCCAGTGGCATGAACAGTCTCGGTGAATCTCACGAACGCCACATCGAGTGAAAGGGGCCAGGTACGAAAGAACACAATCTATATGAATCCATGAATGTAAAGTCCCAAAACAGGCGGAATTCATCTGTGTAAAGAGAAGTCCGGCCCTGGCCGGTTTGGCTCAGCGGTTAGAGTGTCGGCCTACGGTCCCGAGAGACCCGGGTTCGGTTCCCGCTAAGGGCATGTACCTCGGTTGCAGTTTGTCCCCGGCCCTGGTTGGTCGTGCGGGTGGCAGCCACTCGATGTGTCCCTTTCACATCGATGTTTCTCTCTCTCTTCCTCTCTCCCCCTCCCACTCTACCTGAACAAAAAATAGAAAAATGTCCTCAGGTGAGGATAAAAAAAAAAAAAAAAGAGAAGTCGGGTAGTGGTTACCCTAGGGGTAGTGCCTGGAAGGGATGGGCGGGAACGTCGGGGGGCTAGCAAGCTGCTGTTTCTTCATCCAGGTGCTGGTTTTGCAGATGTAGTCAGTGTGTGAGAATTCAGAGCCACACCTTTACATGTGGATGAAAAATTCAGAAAAATCTTGCATGGTGTACACAGTAGGTAATTACTATTATTTCAACAATAGTGTTTCAATAGGAGAGTGTGGTTGAGTGCAACATTTGACAAACGTTTTCTGTAGGGGTCTGGAGCCAGGTAAAAACTTCCGACTTTGCAAGTCATATAGTCTCTGTAGCAACTACTCAACTCTGCTGTTGAAAACAGCCCAGGGTGATATGTAAACAAATGAGCGTGGCTGTGTTCCAATAATACTTTATTTACAAGAACAAGTGTCGGGACAGATTTGCCTCATCTTGTGGAAAATGGGCTGGATTCCAAAGCCTCCTTCCCCGAGTCCCTGCAGGACCCTGTTCAGGCACTTCCCTAGCCTCAGTTTTTCTGTCCTGTATAATGGGAGGCTGATTCCAGCTCAACACTACCCTTTAGGGTTGCAAGGAGATCAAATGAGCTCATAACTGAGGGAGCCCGTAGGGAGAAAAAAACAGCAGGCGTTAACAGCCTCTTGAGATTCTTCAATACAAAGCAGATTATTTCTGCCAAAGTCTGAAAAGAGGAAGACATTTACCCCAAGTCAGCCAGGGCAGCCAAGGGCACCACAGGGAGACAGGATCCATGGGTCTGGCACCACATCCTGACCCTGCCTCCCAGAAGCCTTTCCTCCAAGAGCCAGTGGTGGGCTGTTCCCGAGGCCCAGGGCTGATGCTCCCTGCCCCGGCCTGCTTTGCTGAGCAGCCAGTGCCCGCGGCAGGCAAGTGGTGGTAGAGAGATGTGGGGATGTCCCGTCCAATCCCTCGCTCTTCACTCACGCTTTTCCCTCGGCCGGATTTCTCTTCTGCCCGTTTTCCGGTGGGCTTCTACTCATCCCCCAAGACATGATTCAGGCAAGGATCTGGGGGTGTGCTGGTGGGATACGTCTTTTGGAGAAGAGATGAGTCTTCAGAGAGCAAGGTGCAACTCAGAGGGCAAGCCCAAAGCAGCTGCGGGTGGCAACTCTGGCTTTCCTTGGGCCTCATTTTCTAGGAGCTGGACTTCCGGAGTCCAGACATGCTTGCGGATAACAGCTATAACAGTAATAACAGCAGCAGCTAACATTTACTGAGACTCCCTGTGTGCCAGGGTTTGTCCCCAGCATTTTACACGTACTAATTCGTTTAGTCCTCAAAACCACCCGAGTAGGCACTATTATTCTCCCCATTATCTAGATGACGGAACTGGGGCTCAGAGAAGTGAAGAGACGTACCTGAGGTCACCCAGCTGTAAAGTGCCGGAGCTCTGAAGATTCTAGAAGCAGCTGCTTCTAGAAGTCCAAAACGACTCCATATTATCCCGTTTATTGCCTTGTTCCAGCTGTGATATGTCCAAGTCCTGTCATATGGAGCATCGAAAGGGGAGCAGTTGGGAGGGGGAGAGACAGTCCCAGTTAGGAGTCGGCAACCACTTCTGGTTGGACCAGGAGACACTCCACGCCCTGGGCGAGAGAGGTGGAGGCTCACGTGGGGAAGACCCAGTGAAAACTGACTTAAATTATCAAGGGCATGTATTGGCTCACAAAACTGCAAAGTTCAGGGGAAGGGCTGACTCCAGGGCCGGCTGGGCCAGGTGCTCAGACGCTCTCCCAGGAAGCTCGCGCTCACCATCTTTACTCTCTCCGTGCTGACTGCATCCTCAGGCAGGCTTCTGGACCCAGCAGCTCCATGTAACAATGCCAGTGGACCTCCAGTGACCTCTTTCCCGACAGTTCCGCGAAAATCCCAGGGCTGACTCTCACTGGGCCACTTTGAGTCACGTGATCACCCCTGACCCAGGGGGAGGGACCTAGGCCTGGGTCACATGTCAACCTATGGAACTGAGCGTTGCTGAGGGCGACCCCTACTGGAAGAAGAAGGGAATGCAACTGGCCAAGGCAGCAAGTATCTACTCTCAGCCTCTGGAGGAAAATATGCAATACTCACCCAGAGGTGTTTAGGGGTTGCATGTCCCCTGGAAACCAGCCACTGAGCTCCCTGACACTGTTGAGGTGGTCCAGAACTCAGACCTGGACAAGAGCCTTCTCTAACTGCCTCCCAGCCCACCTGTCTGCAGCACTGATGGCCTCATCACCTGGGGCACACCGCCCCTCCCGCCAGCACCCAGCCAGCCTCCTGCTTGGCCTACTGTCCCAGTTCCCTGGTTGTCCTGGCCCCACCTCCAATATGACTTTTTCCAATCCATGCCATACTGGCCACCCTGCCCTTAGTCTAGCAAAGCCCTGGCTCAGAAACCTTCGACCACTCCTCATCAACAAGGAAACAGGAGCTGCTCAGCCCCATGCCGGGGCTTCCTCCGCCATCCTAGGGGCTGCCCTGACCACAGCTTCAAAATGCACCTCTCCCGTAATTCCACACCGGGTCAGACACCCTAGTGCCCTGGCGGCTCACGTCGCCGCCCAGAGGGAAAGGGTCGAGTCTGAGGCACTGCGGACCAGGGCTCAGCACACAGGTGGTGCTCAAAGCCTTGTACCTGACTGATAGCTCCGGACAGACAGGGAGCTGAGAGAGAGAAGCCAAGGGAGACAGAGAGCGGGAAACAAAATGACAGAGAGACAGAGGTCTGGGGGTAGGGGGACAAGAGAGGCAGAGAGGGAGGGAGGGTCCATGGAGACACGTCTGGAAGGAAGGGGCCATCATCCAGGACCGAGACCCAGGGAACAGGCACAGTGAGGACGGGGAGAGGGAACAGGAACCAGCTAGAGCCTTTGTCGTCAAGCAAACGGGCCCTCTGGTCTGTGTTCCGTAAAGCTGAACGTTCCCCGTCAGGAGTGTTTTGCTGAGCAACCAGTCCTGGTGAAAACACTGGAGCATGTTAAAGAGCAAAGGGGCGGGGAGCCGAGCCGAGAGGCACACAAACACGGAGAGAACATTTGCCTGAGGTAGGTCAACCGGGTGAGACTTGGACCAGGCTCAACGCCATTCCTACCCTTTCCTTATCGGTGTCCGTGGAAGAGGAAGTGAGGCTGGACAGAGGGGAAAAGAAGATAAAAGAGTCAACTCCGGGAGGGGGTCTGAGCTGAGAAGGGAGAAGTGCCCGAGGGCAGTTTGGGGGGTGCGTAGGAATGGGCCCTGGAAGTTTCTGGCTCTGGCCTGAGCAAGTCACCAGATGGCGAGTTAAGACAAGTCAAGGCAAAGTTGCAAAGTACCTGTGATCAGGGCTGACCTCTCGGAGTCCCTGCCACAGGCCACAGCTGCCTCAAACCAGGGTGTCCTCGGCCAGGGCCCAGGCTGGGGGGGCAGGTGTGGCGTTTATACCGGGAACATGACTGGCTACCCGATGTGCGCATTAGACAGTCCTGAAGTCTACCAGCGCAAGGTGGCCGAAGACACCTGCCCACAACACCCACCGGCGCCTAATGATGGCAGCTGGCATGACCGTGGGCGACACCACAGTGCAAGGAGCACAGGCAGGGCCACGCAGCCACGCCCGAGGCCACAGCAGCCGACACCACAGTGCAAGGAGCACAGGCAGGGCCACGCAGCCACGCCCGAGGCCACAGTAGCCGACACCACAGTGCAAGGAGCACAGGCAGGGCCACGCAGCCACGCCCGAGGCCACAGTAGCCGACACCACAGTGCAAGAAGCACAGGCAGAGCCACGCAGCCACGCAGCCATGCCCGAGGCCACAGCAGCCGCTGAGGGACATTCTCACCTTCGAGCGGGTTTTCCTGTGGATTACAATACTACAAAAATCAAACAGCATCGTTCATGATTTGAATTTTTATTTTCTGAAATGGAACCATTGTACATTGTACAAACCATATCTACTGATGGAATAAATAAGTGAAAAATTATACTGCTGTACAACACACACACACACACAAAAATAAAATCGTTAAGAGGGGAAAAAAAAATCAGATAACATGAAAAAAAGGTCTTTATACCTCTAACCAGGTCCTTGGCGGTAATGGACATTCCAAACCATGACGTCGTTGGTGATGGGAGGTCACCACCCTGTGAGTCGGTCAACTGCCTTCCGGGCTGTGGGGTAAGTGCCAGCACTTTGTGGAATGTGTAGCCGCGGTTCCCCAGCTTCACGTGCCCGGGGAATGAGTTTGCCCTGGAGCCCTTGAGGCCGCGGGGCCTGTGTCCGCAGAAGGCATTCGCTCAGGACCCCGCCCTGGCTGGGCCAGGAAGGTCTGGTGGGCGCAGGAGGGGCGTGGGGGCCGGGAGGGACCCGCCTGGAGGGGCGGCTGCGGGCGGGAAGCACACCTGGATTTCTGCAGTCTCCGTGGCCCGGGGCCTTCCCGGCCAGCTGAGTGCGGCCACTGCGGCCGCGGGCGGGACACCGGCCCCTCTCCTTACAGGCACTTCAGAGAAAAGCTGACGAGAGCCTCGTGTCGTGGATGGTGTGGTCCTCCTCCTGTCACTCCCCACCCTGTCCACTCCCCGTGCCCGTCGGGAGAGGCCAACAGAAGGGGCGCAGGGGACCCTGGCCCGCTTGCTGTCTCCGTGGACGTGAGTGCAAGTGTGTGTGCCTCTCCTCCAGCTGTCTGGGGTGTCACCTCTCGCTTCCCAAAGAGCAGGAAATCATCATCCAAATTCCTCTTCCATCCACATGGAGTTTCGCTGCAAAGAAAAAGGTGACTCAAACGCGACAGGATCCGGAGGTAAAGCCGCCTCGCGAGTCTCCGAGAGGTGACGCGGGGCCCGGGTGTCCGCTGAACGGACTGCCCAGGGGCGCGACTGATCAAGATTGTTATTTTTTTTTTATCGTTTAAGACAGAAACCTTTCGGCCATCGCTCACTTCAACGTCGAGATTTCCCAAGTTTGTCTGTTCTTCCCTTATTTCAGGAGACGTTGTTGCATGAGGTATTTGAAATTCAGGAACATTTTGATTCTTCTTGAAGTGCAGGAAATAGATCGGCTCCCTTAAAAGTTAAAGTTAAGAGGCCTCACCCTCAGAAACTCTTAGAAAGCGGAACCTGGCAGAGACTTCCCATGGTGGTCAGGAGAGAGATGCCCACGTCAAAGGTGGTACCTGAATATGCACCGATTCGCAAAAACAAAACGAAAGGAAAACAGAAAACAACCAACGGAATCCCGCAACCCTCCCCCCACCACACACAGCTCAAAGGGAGTTGGAACTCCAGTGCAGTAAAGAAAATTCAGGAAAAGGGTTACCGTCTGAGGAGTCCACACAAGGAACTAAGAGCAACCAGGCCTCAAAACCCAACACTTAGGCAGTTGGTCCAAGGGGGCAGCTCCACTGTAGTGGGAGGAGGCTGCCCCGGGCAGGCAGGGATGGAGTGCACAGCCTTCCAGCTCACTGGCGCCTCCTTTCTGGCCGTCAAGGCCGAACCATCAAGGCCCACTCCCTTGGGGGACTGACGACAGGGTATCCTGGGAATGAGACAGGATCCAGCCGTTGGCTCTGTGGTGTCAGGAACATGCTACAGAAGCAAGTGGATTTCCTGGACTGCATCTTGACACCCCCACCTCCCCGGGTGGGGCTGGGGGACCTGGGGAGGCAGAGAGCAGCAGGCGTCTATGGATTTGAAATCCAAACAGTCCTGTCCTATAAGAGGAAGTTCAGCACCAGCTACTCCTGCCATCTGCTCCCAGCCTCCTCAGCCCTTTCAGAGCCTTCAGATAACCCTGCCGTCAGCCACAGAAGCCGTCCCATCTTCGGGGTGTGGGAGACGCGGTGTGACGGGCAGAGGGTGGAAGCGCCAGAACAATCGAAGGGCTCTTCATGTCCATTTGGGCCACTTGGAAACACCAGGTTCAGACGCCATGAGGAAGTGAGCATGTCAAGTGGCCAGCGCTTGGGGACAGTGCCTTGACTCCTTGGACCGTGGAGGCTGGGCAGGTGGCCGAGAAGGTCCTACTCTTCTGCAGCCTCGGGCTCTCCTCCTCCCTTCCTGCCTGCTCTGTTCCCACTGACGTCCTGGGGCAGGGAGGAGTGAGATGTGAGGGCCGGGGCAGTGGCAGCCTCAACAAAACCGAGAGGGCACTTTGCCAAGGGAGATGCAAAACAACCGGGAAAACATGCCAGAGGTCACCTCAAGGGCACAAGGCACAAAAAAAGAAAGCGGGAGGAATCGGTGGAACGGTGAAAAGCCCCGACGAAACTCGAATTCCTGATGGGTGCCACCCTCAAATAGCTTATATCCTTAGAGAGAGAAGTGGGGGGAAACAATACAGCAGCAACGCAAACGTAATCTTGGCTTCAGAGACAGTGTCTGACACTCCTGAGCTGTCAACCCGCCTCCGCAAGGACAGTCACTTCAAGATTCGAGTGTTTTCCTTCACAGCAGAAAGTTCTTCAGTGTCTGAGAAGTCACGCTGTTCCAGGTTTTCTTGGATTTGCACTTGGTAAACTTGGAAAGTTAGTAGTTCCACCCGAGGGCTCCCTCGGGGAAGTCAGAGAATTTAGCCTGCTGAGGGATCTCCCGGGAAACGTGGACCGGAGTCGGAATCGAGCGTCTATATCTCTTCGGAGTTTTGTTGTGAAGCCTCCAGTTTCATCTTTTTAGAGGGTGGCCCTCCTTCCAAATCCTTGGGGAAAGAGGAAGAAAAGAGAATGGCAGGTTAACTAACAGGCCAGGAGATCGGCTTAGGCGGCCTTGAGAGTAAAGGTCAGCCCGGGAGGCAACTAAGGCGGGACCCTGCGGCGGCCCAGTGAGCATGGAGTTCAGGAGGTTCGCACTCTTGCGGGGAACCTCAAACCCAACTCCTCCGGTGTCTCCCACACCTCAAGTCTCGCTGGCTCCCTCCGGGTCCTCCTCCTGTGCCTCTCAGCTGCCCCCCCTTCACCCCCTCTGGAGCAAGTGTCCCCCTGCCCGGCTTCCAGCCCAGCGGCCGGGGGAGTTATTTACACACAGTTTCGAGTTTACTTCTCCAAGCGCGAGGGCCTAGACCAAACGCTGACAACTGCTCCTTGGGACCAGCACGGGCACCTGGCCCGGGCGGACGCTCGGCACTTGTTCAACGTGCACAGGTATGTTATTCTGGGAGAGGTCGCAGTTGTCACCAAATTCCCAAGAAGTCCCTTGACTCGAAAACAAGTTCAACGGTCGCTCACCACTCAAGTCATCTCAGGCATCTGAGACCCGCCCCGTCACCCGAGACCAGGTCTTGACTTCGCCCATCCCCAAAGGGTGCTCCTGTGTCTGTCGGGGGTGCCGACCTCTGCCTGGGATAAAAACGGACAAGATCCGGGGGTACCCACGTTCTCGCCACGCTCCCACACCCACCTGAACAGCAAGTCCCTTCAGCTGCGTCTCCGAGACCCTCGAACCCACACACCCCTCCCTCCGCTGAGCGCCCCGACCACACCGGAGCACCCATCTCTTGTCCCCGTGACACAGCAGGCTGCTCTGCAGTCCCCCTACACAGCCCGGGGCTCTTCTCAGAACAGCAATCATACACAGGGTCTAAAACCCACTGATGCTTCCCCACTGGCTTCAGAATAAAACCCCAGCTCCCGACCAGGCCAGGGAGGCCCGAGGACCCGGCCCACTCAGCCTCCGGCCGTTCTCTTCCCTCTCCGCCAGGCTCCAGGCTCCCCGGCTCCCCTTCTGGCTCCAGGCCCGGGCACCCAGAAACCCTGCTCTCCCAGCCCTCGTGTCTCATCCTTAGATTCCGGCTCCCAGCCACACCGCTCTCCCTACACTCTTCTAGAACCTTCCACTCCCGTCAAGCTTCTCTGCGCCACCCCATGCTCGTCTCCCACGGATGTACTGTGACTTTGCCTCTGCTTCCCTGACCCATCATGGGCACCACGAGGGCAGGGAGGGACCTTGTCTGCTGGCTCACCCTGGGTCTCCACTACCCGGTATCCTGTGGGTGCCCAATTAACATTCACTAGAGACCCGGGGCCTTGATGCAAACCGTGTCTGAGTGCCTGGTGGCCCGTCCCGAGAGCAGGCGTCACAGGGAGACAAGAGGAGGCTGCTTCCTCTCCCTCCTCCTCCTCCTCCTCGCCGGTGACGGTGACACAAGCGCAGTGCAGAGGAGCAGAGAGGGCGGCTGCACTCCAAGGAAGGTCCTGCGGCTCCCCAGAGCACCCGGGTCAGGGAGGCACAGGTGCCGGGGAGGGAGCCCGGAGAGAGGGGAGCTGCTCCTCATGACGAGCCGGAGGGCGGGGAGGCAGAGGCGAGGAGAGGGAATGAAGGCGAGAACACGTGAGCTCAGTGAGACGGGCAGCAGGGGAAGAGCCGAGAAGTCCTCCTGGGAGGGAGCAGGTGGCTGTGGAACCTTCTCTTCTTTGTCAAGCAGGTCTGGCTGAACATCCGTGTCACCTGTTGGCTTCACGGCGATACGTCGCCATCCTGCTCACAAGCCCAGCAGCTCTGTAGGCGAGCGTGTCCATGTGGGCAGGAAAACGGTGGAGGCGGCCCCATTCCAGTCTAGGCCCCTGGAAACGGGGGTGGAGGTGGGGACATGCTGGAATGGAAGACCCCTGGACTTTCCAGACGCCGGGGCAGGGGGCACCAGATGCCTCCGGGGTGTGAGTTTCAAGCTGACCTTTCCTTCCACTGAGTTCAAAAGGCCAGGAGACCCCAGCAGACATCTTGGTTTTACGATACAAGAGGCTTTGATTCTGACTTTTCATCAGATGGGCTCATACTAGGCCCGAGGCTCTGAGACTTGCTTCTCTCATCTCACATGGTGAGAATATTTCTTCGTTCTTCATCTGTATCTGGGTCAACCATGCCCCCCTCCCCTTTTTTTCAAAAACTTTTTTCTTTCTTCATTGATTTTAGAAAGGGGAAGGGAGAGGGAGATAGAAACATCAATAAGAGAAAACATCGACTGGGTGCCTCCTGCATGCTCCCCGCTGGGGATCAGGCCCACAACCTGGGCACGTGCCCTGACCGGGAATCAAACTGGCGACCTCTTGGTGCCTGGGTCAACGCTCCACCACTGAGCCATGCCGGCCGGGCAACCGTGCCCTTTTGAACAGCTGCGTGCCAGCCTGTGTTATACACGACCCCAGGTTTATTTAACCAGATCCCTTTCGACAACTTCCTGCCGCTGCAAACATCTTCCATCCACAATTCGCGTCTCTGGGCGTTTGGAGCGTGTTCCGTAGGATGAAGGGAGGTGCAGATCCAAGGGTATGGAGGTGAGAAAGTCTGAGAGGCACGTTCCCTGGGAAGGCTGGGTTCAAGGCTGTGCAGCACGCAGACCACGTCCTGCTGAGCCCTGTCCTCCCCGTTCTCTGCTGCTACGCATCAGTTTCTCCCGCGGTACCGGAAACGACTCAGCGCAGTGCACAGTTTTGTTCATAGCCAATGGGATACTGCTGATTCCCCACTCCTCCTAAATGAGCACAGAGGATTGACGGTGAAAGGCATCATGGTCTCCCAGGCAACACGGAGGCATCTCCTGTGTCCAGCTCCACCGTGCGTTACCCACATTCTCTCAGCTCATCGCTGGAGACATCGAGGGTGTGCTAAGTGAAAAGGCTGGATTCGAACCCAGGACATTCGCTCCCATCCACTGGGCCACCTGCTTCTGCACTGTCTGATTCAGACCAGATTCTGACAAGCAGTGATGACCCAGAAAGGGGTCCAAGCAGGGCGAACAGGCCAGCTGCAAAATATTCCCACAGAACATTTTATCCGAAGTTGAGGATTCTGAAGACTTATCTTCCCAGCTCTGAAGGAAGTTGATTTTGGGTCACTGACACCACTTTTGTGGAAGCAAATAAAGTGAGGAAGCCACGGCTGGGATCAAGGACCTTTCTTTCTTCGTCCTATGTCCTCCTGTGTCTGATCTTTCGTGGTAGCCCCAGCGCCCGGGGCCGAACAAAGAAAGATGCTCCCGGTCCCTGCTCGCTGAACACATACAGTTCCAATCGTCCAACGAGAAAACAAAACAACAGAACACCTCTCAAGGTACCCCCGACACCCCAGCGGGCGCCAGGCCGATCTGGCCACCCCTCTGAGACCTTGATCAAGGTACCTGAGAGATTGAGGGTGTCTCTGCAGCGAGGCCCGCGTCTCCAGATGGCTGCCGCTCGACTTTCTCTGAACTGTTCGAGTTTTCCACTGAAGACTGTGAGTTCTGCTCATCAGAAGCATCTGAGGGAAAAGCAAGAGGACAGAAGCTGTTTCTAGACACGTGATTTTCCGGGCCAGATGGACCAATTACTAAAAATACCTGGAAACAGGGTAGTTTGGTGGCCCGGCGGTCTGTGAGGGCTACAGTAAGCTGGGGTGGGGGGGCTCGGGAAGCCTCTTGCTTATTTTTTAGAGATTTTAAGCAGCCAGGCCACACGCTGGCCCTACAGCCCCAACCCTTTCCTACACACCCATTACCTGCCAAGTGCCCCTGGAGAACACCTAGAGGACGGACAGGCGCTGTGCTGCGTGCACACGGCGCCCTCTGGTGGACAAAGTGCGCTCCAACCACCACGGCTGCGGACTCCTCCCTCTTCCGTTACCTCTGCCTTCTCCACTGGGGAACCCGCAGAGGGAACTGCCCCCCCCCAACCTTTCTCTTACTAATATGAGTATTTTTCTTTTTTTTATTTTTATTTTTTTATCCTCACCCGAGGACATTTTTCTATTTTTTGTACAGATAGAGTGGGAGGGAGAGAGAGGAAGGGAGAGAGAGAGAGAAACATCGACGTGAAGAGACACATCGAGTGGCTGCCACCCGCACGACCAACCAGGGCCGGGGACAAACTGCAACCGAAGTACGTGCCCTTAGCGGGAACCGAACCCGGGTCTCTCCAGACCGCAGGCCGACGCTCTAACCGCTGAGCCAAACTGGCCAGGGCAATATGAGTATTTTTCTCATCCTCAGAGACAAGATTGCTCTTTGCAAGAAACAGAGTACATAGAAAAAAATCCAGTTAAAATCACCAATGAGCCCTGGCCGGTTTGGCTCAGCGGTTAGAGCGTCGGCCTGCAGTCCAGAGAGACCCGGGTTCGAGTTCTGCTAAGGGCACCCACCTCGGTTGCAGTTTGTCCCCGGCCCTGGTTCGGTTGTGCCAGTGGCAGCCACTCGATGTGTCCCTTTCACATCAATGTGTCTCTCTCTCTCTCTCTCTCCCTCTCCCTCCCTCCCACTCTATCTGAACGAAAAATGGAAAAATACCCTTGGATGAGGATTAAAAAAAAAAAATCACCAATGATCTCATGCCACTCAGTTACCACCTCAGTAACACTGTAGAGGATTTAGTCCCGTTTTTCCAGAAGTTTCCCCTACACGCACATAATTATCCTCTCCCCCAGAATGGGAGTCACACAGTATTTTGGAAGAATTTTTCATGTCTTTAAAAATTCTCTAAATACAAGAGAACACACGCAGGCTACATGGCGTTCTGTCGAAAATCACCTATTTCATGAACCCTGTTTCCCCAGTTACAGACTATTTCTCATTCGCCGGGCTCCCGACCACGTCCCTTTAGCAGAAGGAAGGTGCAGGGCACAGACTTCGGAAGAAGAGGTACCTGGTCTACCTGAAGTTTATTTGGGGCACAGAGGAAGAGAGTCAGGGAGGGAGTGGCAACATCCCCCCAGGGCCCCATTCTGCTGGCTCTCAAGGGCCCAGGAACATATGTCACCCTGATTTTTTAAAAGTACACTAAAATAGTCCTGGCTGGTGTGGCTCAGTGGCTGGGCATGGTCCCATGCAGCAAGAGGTCGCCAGTTCGATTCCCATCAGGGCACATGCAAGGTGTTTCTCTCTCACATCAACGTTTCCCTCCCTCTCCCTTCTTCTCTAAAAATCAATAAAAACATATTAAAAATAGTTTTCCAAAAGTACACTGAAATACACAAGAATGCCTTACTCTCTGGGGTTTCTGAGACACCCCGCCAGCATCTGGGCTGGGGTTTCCTGCTGCTAAATGTAGGGTCAGGGTCTGCCCTCTCCAGGGCTGGGCTCAAGCTGTGTCTGTGTAGACAGCCCTGGGTTACAATGCTGCCTCTGCTAACTTGTGCCCGGTGGGGCCCTGGGCTCTTAGTCTCAGCGTCTCCCCGCCCCCGGAAAATCAAGGCTGACAGTGGCTACCCCATCAAGTCACCGTGAGGATGCAGTGGAATGACACGAAAAGAATCCAAGCGGCGAAGTAACCCCAGGTGGTACTGACTGAGGGATGACCTAGGGCATCCATTTTCAACCAGTGTGCTGCAAGAATTTTTAAAACCTGAAGTACCTGCTCTGACCTGAAGGGTCACAGGTTCGAGTCCCAGTCAAGGGCTCGTACCAGGGTTGCATGTTGGATCCCTGGCCCAGGTCAGGGTCAAGGCGGAGGCCAACATATCGATGTTCTTCTTTCTCCCTCCCTTCCTTCCACTCTCTCAAAATCAATGGAAAAGATCCTTGGGTGAGGATTAATACAAAATAAAAAATTAAAGCATGTATACTTGACTATTTAGTCAGGGGCACTGACTTCTTTTCCCTTAGACTGTCAACTCAAAGAAAATGACAACAGCCAACACAATAAGAGCCCTTTGGTGTGAATGAATCAAAATTATATATATGTATATTTTTTGGGGGCAAAAGATATATTTTTTGGTGCGCTGCAGTATTTTAGTAAGTAGTTTATGTGTGCCATGAAATGAAAAAGGTTGAAAATCGCTGATCTAGGGCACAGATCCGAACTCCCCGTAAACCTGACGTTTCTTTGATAGTTTTCGTTTTACCTTTAAAATCCATATTAGTGGCAGTTCTTCAAAGAGTTACGCGCAGAACTACTGCAGGACCCAGCAATACCACTCGTAGGCATAGCCACAAAAGACCTGAACATGGGTCCCCAAGGTGTCCACAGCCAGCCAGCCCCCTTTGCAACGGCTGACGAGGGGAACAGCCCAAAAGTAATTGCACTTCCACTCTATCTAAAAGTCAACGGAAAAAATATCCGCAGGTGGGGATTGACAAAACAGACGCACGGCCACACAAAACGTGGGCTAGCCGTCCACAGTGGACTAGTAGCCTTCAAAAGGAACGCGTGCACAGGCGGAACAGCAAGTTGATGTTTCTCTCTCAAAAAAATCGATTAAAAAAAAAAAAGGAATGAAGCCCTGATACCTGCTACAACGTGGATGAACCTTGAAAACATGTGATACTAAGTAGCCAGTCACCAAACACCGCGTGCGTAGGATTCTATTGGGAGGAAATGTCGAGAACAGGTAGCTCCATAGAGACAGAAGGCAGAGCGCTGGGTGCCAGGGGCTGGGGGGAGGGAACACAGGGAGTGACAGCTAGCTGGGGGCGGGGTTCCATTTGGGGACAGGAACATGTTTTGGGACTAGAGGTGATGGCTGCATTGGATGTCCTAAACGCCGCCGCCTTAGGCACTTTTCCATGGCTACCTTTATCTTATGTGTGTTTCACCTCAGTGAGAAAAACCCACGTTAATGTTACGTTCTATTTCATAACACGGGTTTGCTTTAACAGACGTCTTCTATTGTGACTGTCCTCTCGGAACACAGTTCCCCTCCACCCTGCAGAGTGAGCTCTGGGGGTGGGGTGGGAGGTGAGGCCCCAGCCGAGGGCGTAGGAATTGCGAAGGTGGCCGGTCACCGAGCGTCACGCTGACCCCTGGCTGGCCTGGGCGCGGGACTGGCCTTCAGCCCAGGAGCGCTCAAGGGCTCAGTGCGGCGGCCTGGTGCTCTTAGCAGAAGGTGCTGGAACCCCCCCAGGGGAAATTATTTTCCTGGGGCCTAAATTTAGTCCAGGGAGCTTGAACATTATGTCATTGCCTGAACTCACTCAGCAGTAAACAAGTTCAAAGCAAGGTCAACAGCTGGCAACCAACCCGTCCTGTCCCACAGGCGGTGTTCACCCACCTGGGAAGGCGGCGTGGGGGGAGCTCGGCCGCCCCTGGCCACGGCAGGTGGGCCTGGCCCGCTGTGGTGGTCCCACCTAAGCAATGGTGGGCACCTGTGCAGGCCCAGTGGCCTGGGGTGGCTCCCACCTGGACCTGTAAGGCTTGTGGGGTGGTGGTGGGTGGGGGTGGTAGTCACCCCACTGTGGCAGTTACGAAAGGAAGCCTTAACCCAAGATATGATTCCTGCAACTGGCCCTTTAAAAGGAGACACAGGGTTCTGGCCTGTTTTGCTCAGCGGTCAGGGCATCGGTACTTGGGCCAAAGGGTTTCGGATTCGATTCTCAGTCAAAGGCACCTATCTGGGGTGCAGGTTCAATCCCCAGCCCCGGTCAGGGTCATGTGGAAGGCAATCAATCAATGTGTCTCTCTCACATCGATGTTTCTTTCTCTCCCTCCCTCCTTTCCACTCTACCTAAAAATCAATGGGAAAAATATCCTCAGGTGAGGACTTACAGAAGTGAGTAAATAAATAATAAAAATAAAAGGAGATGCAGGCCCTGGCCAGGTAGCTCAGTTGGTTAGAGAAAATAGGAAAGAAACCAGGACAGCCCGGCCGGTGTGGCTCCGTGGTTGAGCGTCGACCCTGCACCAAGAGGTCGCTGGTTCGATTCCCAGTCAGGGCACATGCCCAGGCTGTGGGCTCGATCCCCAGTGGGGGGCGTGCAGGAGGCGGCCAATCGATGTTCTCTCTCATCGATGTTTCTATCTCTCCGTCTCCCTTCCTCTCTTGAAAATGAAAAAAAAAAAAAAAGATGAGAAATAAAATAGGAAAGAAGAAAGAAGTCAGGACACGGCCCTCGCCTGGTCCTGCACAGCCCTGTCCCAGCGCCCCCGGGTCACCCCACCACGGTTCGCCAGGCTCCGCCGAGCGTTTCGCGCTCTCACTTCCCTTCCTGCAGTGACCTGACGAGACCAACTTTTATTTGTCTCATCTTACAAACAAGGAAACAGGAAGGCGTGCCGGAGCTGCCACACTGCCCGCCCAAGGCCACGCAGCTGGCAGGCGTCAGCCCAGATGTGACCAGCGCGTCCTGTGTCCACGTGCCTGGCTCATGACCGTGTGGCGGACTGGGAGCCGGGACGCGCCGCCCAGCGTTATGAGAGGAGGTACTGGCCCGGGAAAGACCAAATTTAAAAAGTACAGTTTCTATTAAACGCACGTGGCTTTCATATCATCATCAAGTCAAACCACTGTAAGTCAGGGACCGTCTATATGTGAAAACTTTCATTTAAAGGGGGTCGAGACCTCAAAATAAACAAACGGATACACATGTGCACACACACACACACACATCCTCCGCAGTTTCCTCTCCTTACTGCCTCCTCCGCTCCCACCCCGGGGCAGCCGTCATCCATCCTCTCCCACCTGGACCATTGCAGCAGCCTCCACAATGGTCTCGTGCCTCCATCGGCCACCCACTCTGTTCTTACTCACGGCGACCAAGGTGATCCTTCAGATCACGGCACTCCGGCCCCCAGTGGCTCCCGGCTCACTCAGCATAAAATCAGGGTCTCCTAAGTGGCCTTCTGAACCCCACATACTTCAGGCCCCGCCTCCTCCCTGATCTCATTTCACTGTCTGAGCCCCTCGCCCCCTGCTCTCCTCCAGCCACACGGAGCATGCTCCTGCCTCAGGACCTTTGCACAAGCTCCCTCTGCTCGCAGCGCTCGCCCAGTTATCCAGGTGCCTGCTCTCTTGCCTAATTTGAGGCTCACTTGCTCAGTGAGGCTTTCGCTGACCACCTATTTTATTTTTATTTAAAAAATTTCCTTTTCTTTATTGGTTTTGAGAAAGAGAGAGAAGCAGCGATGAGAAAGAACATCAACTGGCCGCCTCCTGCATGCCCCCCACTGGGGATCAGGCCCACAACCAGGGCATGTGCCCTGACCAGGAGTCGAGCCAGTAACCTCTTGGTGCATGGGTCCACGCTCAACCACTGAGCCACACTGGCTGGGCTCCCTGACCACTTATTTAAAATCACAAAACCGGCCCTGGCCGGTTCGGCTCAGCGGTTAGAGCGTCCGCCTGTGGTCCAGAGAGACCCGGGTTCGGTTCCCGCTAAGGGCACGTACCTCGGTTGCAGTTTGTCCCCGGCCCAGGTTGGTCGTGTAGGTGGCGACCACTTGATGTGTCCCTTTCACGTCGATGTTTCTCTCTCTCTCTCTCCCTCCCACTCTATCTGAACAAAATATCAAAAAAAAAAAAAAAAAAGTCCTCGGGTGAGAATAAGAAAATAAATAAATGATAATAAAATCACAAAACTGCCCTGGCCGGTTTGGCTCAGCGATTAGGGCGTTGGCCTGTGGACCAGAGAGACCCGGGTTCGGTTCCCGCTAAGGACGCGTACCTTGGTTGCAGTTTGTCCCCGGCCCCAGTTGGGGTCGTTTGGGTGGCAACCAATGGATGTGTCTCTCTCACATCGATGTTTCTCTCTCTCTTTCCCCCTCCCCCTCCGTCTGAAGATAAATGCAAAAATGTCCTCGAGTGAAAATTTTTAAAAAAGTTTAAAATGACTAAACCCCCCATAATGGGGCAAGACTCCCCATTCCCCTTACTTTATAATTCTCTAGAGCACTAACTTTCCAAATACTAGACGGTGTGATTTTTAAATTGCCCCCCAAGAATATGAGCCCCAGGCATTACCTTTCTTCTGGGGCTGGCACACGGCAGGGCTTCCTTAAAGACCTGTCGACACCCGCCTGGACAGAAGGCTGGATGGAGAGACCCCCGAGCCTGGCCCCGAGGACACGTACCTTCGGCCCCAGGGAGCTCCTTCCCGTCGGCCTGGGCCTCGTCGGCCTTGGTGTTGGCACCATCACAGGACACGGAGGAGTTGGGCTCCGGCGCAGGGCTGGAGTTGCTGCTGTTCTCCTGTTTGATGGGGGAGGCGTCTGCTATGGAGCTCTGGTTGCTGTTATCGTCTGGGGGGGGGACAGAAACACAGGTGAAACCCCACAGCTACTGAGGAAAGGCGGGCTCAGGGGGCTCCGCCTCTCACGCCTCACTACCCCCAGAAGGACACTGTCCCAGGAAGGCAGACACTCCCTCCTCCAGAACCCTGGAGCTGGTACCCAGGGCCCGACCGGCCCCCAAGGGCTCCCTGAGAGCCCGTGTTTGGAGGCAGCCAGCCACGGATGGTGGCCGAGGCCTTGTTCTGGGTGAGGACACCAGACATCTTGGCTGGGGTGCAACACAAAGGCCGAAGCACGGTGCACAGGCAGCGAGGCGGAAATGTCGCGTCTGATCTGATCAAGCCTCCAGCCAACTCCCACCGGATCCGAAAGGAGAGGGGGAGAAGGGGGAGAAGAGGGACGAGTCACTGCCACAGAGTGGAACAATCCACGGGACAGTCGGCCCGGGCTCTGCTGATCAACACCAAAATAAAACAAGATGATAAAACAAAAAAGGGGAACCAGGGAAGATTATTGTAGATGACAGGAATTTGAGAGATCTAACAGCTACCTGTGATGGGAGGAAATTATTTAAATCCCGTTTTGAACGTGCCAGGTGGTAAGAGATATTCTGGGACAATGGGGGAATTTGAACACAGTGAGAAGTTTAAAAGGTATTAAGGAATTATTCTTAATTTTGTTCAAGGTGATAACAGCACACGGGGCACACAGATTATAGGTGTCATTTATTGGGTACACGTGCTCAAGTGTTCAGGTACAGACTTAAATATAATGAGGGAAAATTTACTTTAAGATGCTCTAGCAAGGGCTACATACCATTGTCAGAATTCCCTGAAATTGACGCTCAAGAGTGTGCTTATTTATCTGTAAACATTTTTTTTTCTTTATTGATTTAGAGAGAGAGGAAGGGAGATGGAACATGGATTGGCCGCCTCCTGCACGCCCCCCACTGGAGATCAGGCCCACAACCCGGGCATGTGCCCTGACCGGGAATCGAACCAGGACCTCTCTCAGTCCATGGGACGATGCTCAATCCACTGAGAAACACCAGCCGGGCTGAGGTTAACACATTTTTAACAACAGATGAGGCAGAAATGGCATAATATTAGTGGGAATATAGGTGATAGTTATATGGGGATGATTTCTCATACTATTCTATTGTTCTCTCATGAAATTTTTCACAATAAAAAAGAAAAAGGGGAAGAAAGTTAATTGGGCGATGATACTGGTGGTTGAGCTGGTGGCAGAGCTGGGGGGCCCAGGGCACATACACCCTTGCTTTGGACCCTGTCTTGGACACAGAGAGTAATTTGTTTTTAAATCCTCACCCGAGGATATTTTTCCAAATGGGAAAAATATGGGAGGGAGCGAGAGGGAGAGAGAAACATCAATGTGAGAGGGACACATCGACTGGCTGCCTCCTGCATGATCCTGACCAGGGCCGGGGACGAACTGCAACCAAGGTACGTGCCCTTAACCGGGATTGAACCCACGACTCATTGCACCGCAGGCCGACACTCTACTGCTGAGCCAAACTGGCCAGGGGTCACAGTCTGTCATTTTAAACTGTACCTATCCAAGTGGCAATTTAAAAAATAATACTTCAACCTTACGCTGCTTTGCTGGGCCATGCTGCCCTCCTGGGACGGAGGTCATTTTTATGAAAAATGAAAGAGGGAAGATCAGTATGTCCTGGGCACCTGGTACGTGTTGGGCACCCATGGAGATACCTTGTTTAATCCTCTCAACCTACCAGGAAGGCGCTGTTACCACCCTCACGTCACAGAGGGGAAACTGAGGACCAGAGCAGCAGAACCCCTCGCTCAGGCTGGTCCAGCCAACTCCGACCCCGAGTCCTTCTGCCTCATCCCGCCGGGGCGCCAGGGTCCCGCAGCCCTAACCGGGGGAATCGCATCTGATTTTAAGTGTCCCCGGGCACACTTGTAACACAGAACTCTCTCTTGTGAATTCTGGGACCTAACAGCACTTTTTTTTATTTAAGATGTACCTTGTGAGAAATCTCAACGTCCGTCCTAGGCCAGGACACGTGTGAACGTGTGTGAGGGGCACAGAAGCTCGGGTCCGGCAGGAGCGACGTCACGTGAGGGCGACTCCCGGGTCCAGCGAGTTAGCTGCCCGGGGCCAGCCGGGCTCCGGGTAACTGCGTGGCCACGACACGGGGCTAACCTCGGCTGAGCCTGGAAAGCTGGGTGCAATGCCTGCCCCCTTCGTTCCTGCCGGCCCCTCCCCTCCGAGCCCTCAGCTCACACCCTCCGATCTGCACTCAAGTGAGAATGACCCTGGGGAGGTGAGCACGGCCCCAGTCTGTTCAGCATTCTAGATTTTCCCCCCTGGAGTGTTAGTCTAGATTTTTCTAGAGCCCACAAACTTGGATTCCGCCTCCGAAGGCCCTTGCAGGCCGGCACTGGCCGTTACTGCACCTCTCTGAGCCTCGTTTCCTCCTCGGTACAATGGGGCTCGTCTCCAGGATGAAATGAGGTCGTGAAAGGGCCCAGCAAGGTGGCCGGCACCCCCTGACGGCCTCCTAAATGTCTGCTCCCACCACGCCAAGCTCGGAGGGATTTCCTTGTTTAATGTTCACAGTGACCTTACAGAGGAGGCATGACCATCCCCACTCGACAGGTTCAGACAAACCCGAAGGTGACGAGGTAAATAGCCGGCCTAGGGCCACGCAGCTGGGGGGAGATTCTAGGAGAGTCAGATTTGAACCCAAGTAGGGTCTCTGCTTAGAAAGGCCCTCACCTGCAGCTCTGTGACCGACCCAAACCCTGAGCCAGGCCTGGAGTTTTCTTGACCCCTGGAGAGCGGGGTGCTAACCAGTGCCAGGGAGACAGGTTATCTCCCAGCCCAAAGACCTACTTCTGGAAACGAAACACAGCCCGACTATGACTATCTAAGCCCCCAGTGGGGGGCTTTCCTGACGTGATAACCGTCTGCAAGAGCCCCCGGCTTTCCGACGTCGACCCAGCAACAAGACTCTGCCCTCGGAGCCTGTTTTCTAAACAAGTCAGTTTAGACAAAGCAGGGAGCTTGCTGGCCTTCCTTCCCCAGAACAAGACAGCCCTGGGGCTGGAGGGCTAGAAACTCAATCAAACCAACATTCCCTTGCGATGTATTATTCACTTACTGAACCCACCTTGCCGTGCAAAAGGCCCAGGTGGTCCAAAGCGCAACGTCACTACACTTGGGATCAAGGGATGAAAAAAGGCAAGTTCTTTACACCAGCAGGCCCGGCAGGGGACGAAACGCGGTGAGCCAGGCGGGCCTGCGGAGACCCGTCCTCCCGAAGGGCCAGCGCTCCTGCTCAGCAGGGCGTCCACCGCGGGAGCGTGGGCCCAGGGCTGCCGGACCCGACTTCTCCAAGGACGGCAAAAATGTAGATGTCCTGACTTATGAACATCACAAAGCCCATCTTTTAGCAACTTCACGTCTGAATCTCTGAGGTCAGCCGTCAGGGGGCAGTTTTCCGTGGAGGGGCGGGGAGGACCAGGAGGGGACACCAGGGGGATTGGCGGGAATGTTCTGTCTTGATCTGGGCCGTGTGCACGGGTGTGCATAGGTGGAGAACAGTTCTTGGAGCTATATGCTGAGGATCTGTACCTCTCCTCTTGGGTAACAGGTAGCGAGAGAAATACACGCCAGTGAGGTCAAGACGGCTACAGACCGGCTAAAAGTACGTCTCCAGCCTGGAGATGCTCGGTGGCCTACTGGTGACAACGTCTAAAATAAGGCAACAGCCCTGGCCAGTTTGGCTCAGCGGTTAGAGCGTCGGCCTGTGGTCCGGAGAGACCCGGGTTCGGTTCCCGCTAAGGGCACGTACTTCGGTTGCAGTTTGTCCCCGGCCCTGGATGGTCGTGCGGGTGGCAGCCACTCGATGTGTCCCTTTCACATCGATGTTTCTCTCTCTCTCTCTCCCTTCCTCTCTCTTCCTCCCTTTCTATCTGTACAAAAAATGGAAAAATATCCTCGGGTGAGGATAAAAAAATAAATAAATAAATAAAATAAGGCAACAAAGAAAGGTCGGCTGTGGACATGGATGAACATGAAGTCAGAAGCCCAGGCTGGAGCTTCCCAGGAGCCAAAGCAATAAAGGAAATGGAACACATGGTCCTCTGTGCGGTATGTCAGGCCCAGAAGGGAAAAAGGACAGTGTATACCCCAGAACATCACCTGTGAGGACTTTTGTCACCAGGTGAGAAGAAGGTCTCATTTTATGTTTCCTGGCTTGTCGGACTGGGAGAAGTGAGCCTCCTCCTTGGCACAGAGGCCAGTCCTGCCCAGCCCTCCGACTACCCCTTGCCTGGAATGTGAACGAACCTGCTGGTGAAACAGAACACGGCCGAGCGCTCTGCCTCGGCCCAGGGACCGGGCAGGAGAGGGCCGGCGGCGGGGGAGCTCACCGTGCATGTCCATCATCCCGGGGGAGGAGCTGTTCTCCGGCGTGGTCACCTCCGAGCCACACTTCTCGTCTTTGCCCTTCTTCTTGTTCTTGTTTTTCTGGAGGAGAAAAGGGAGCAGAAACCGAGTCACCCAATCGAGCGTGTGCGGGAAGGAGCGAGACCCTGGAGGGTGGCATGAATATTTTATTCTGCTGGCTCATCTTATTGCCCCCAAGTCCCCGGAGGGCTCTCCCTGGGCTGCATTTGAACACGTGCCATTAGGGGCCTCACCTGCTTCAGAATCAGAGCCCTGCAGAGGGAGGCTTCTGGGGCGGGGGACTGGGGACAAACCCCCAGTGTCTGTGGGGCCAGCACCTGCAGGCACGAAAACACCCTGGCTGGTGGGAGTCTCCTCCTCCTTCAGGGAGAGCGTGTGGGGTGCAGGCCACGGTCACCCTCCCAGAGCAGGGACAGGAAGCCCGGTGGGCCATGGACAAATGCCGAGTTCACCGATCCCCACGGTGGTTAGGCCCCAGGCTGTCCCACAGGAAGACCCGGGGAGGAGAGAGGAGGGGATGCTTCCTTCGGACAGCTCCATTTTTCACAACTGGAACAGAATCGCTTTGAAGCACCCCGTGCCCATCAGTAAGAGGCTCGTTAAATAAATTACGGTGCCTTCATTCACTGTAAGCGATGTCACAATTACAGAGACTAAGGCAGCTCTTTGTTCAATAATGGGGAATGATCTACAAAAATGTCAACATTAAACACATTTCAGTATCTCCAAGATGTTTTTACAAAAGGCGTGGAATGGAACTCTGCCATTAACGGTAAAGGAAAGAACAGACGGACGTGTCTGTGGGCACCCTGGGTGCCTCCAAGGAGCGGAGCTGAGGGGGGGTGTGCAGGGACGGGAAACAATTTATAAAAAAATATACAGTAAGGCCCTGGCCCGGTGGCTCAGTTGGTTGGAGCGTCAACCTGTACACCAAAAGGCTGCAGGTTCAATTCCCGGTCAGGGCACATACCTAGGGTGCAGGTTCGATCTCCAGTCAGGGTGCATATGGGAGGCAGCTGATCGATGTTTCTCTCTCACATCAATGCTTCTCTCTCTCTTTCCCCCTTCCTCTCTCTCCAAAATCAATTTAAAAAAAACCACACATATCCTTGGGTAAGGAATAAAACGAAAAAAGATCGACCGTAGGAAAAGGTAAACGTGAAGATCACGCAAACCTACAAAGACAGGAAGTGGGTGGGTGGTGTCCAGGACCTGGGCTGGGGGCAGTGACCGCTAAGTTTTCTTTCTGGGGGCGATAAAAATGTTCTGGAACTCCTGCGGTGACAACTGTCGGGCAGTGGGGCGGGGAGAGGGGTCTCGTCATGGCTCCGACATGACAGCGGATCTGCCTCCTCCAGCACCGTCGTGCAGCCACACTGCGGGAGTCCTCTCCGGGTGACGCCCCGGGACCTGGGTCTCACCGCTTCACCGCTTGGAGGAGGCAGCGGAGGCCCCGCGAGGTGGGGCGCCTGTCCCACAGCACGGGCTCATGGGGGTGGTCTGCCGACTCCACATCCAGGGCTCTCTGGGGCCCAGCCTGGGGCTGCCCTGTCCTTCCTGACAGCCCACGTGCTGCGTGTTCCCTGACGTCTGCTCCGTGCTCTTCTATGATGATCTCCCCGCAGTGCGATTATAGATTCCTTGGAGCAGGGCCCAGGCTTCTCTGGTGCCGTGGTGTTTACAGAACACCTAACAACGTGCAGGCACCGACTGCGGCCAGCGCCAAGGCTGCCCCCGAGGCTGGTGGCTCTCACGCCGCCCTCCCTCAGCCGCCAGCACCCAGCGCTGCGATGCTCTAGGTCTCGGGGCCTCTGGTGGCTCCGGTGGCTCCATGAGCCCAGGCCAGACCCAGAAGGAGCGACAACCGCCCACGATCTCAGCCCAGGGCGAGCGTGTGCTCACGGTGCGAGAGGGGACCCTCAGCCGGGCTCGGAGACCCAAGAGGTAACGGGAGACGGTGGAGGGAGGCTTTAACCCCACCCAGTGACCCCCTAGAAACCTGCCGACTAGGACCCTGTCACCCCCAGGCGCGAATGAAGCCCTGCGGTCAGTGTGAGCCTGCTCCCTGGAGGAGAGGGCTGCTCGCGTGGACAGGAAAAGCCGGGCAGGAGGAACAGCCCATGCAAAGGCCTGGAGGTGGGAATGTTGGGATTTCGACTTGAAATTAGAGTAGCTGACCCGGGTCTTTGGGAGTAACTTCGCCTCTAAGCCGAAACAGGGCCATGAGGGGCTGTCATCAATCCCTCCGTAAGGTCAAGCACAGCCGCTGGGGCTCACCCTGGTGGTCCTAGTCATCACCACCCCTGCACGAACTCGCTCGGGTGAGAACCAGAAGGTTCTCCAAGAGTGGGGAGAGCATGTTGTGCTCTGGAGTCAGAGAGACATGACACCTGCTGTGTGACTCTGGGGAACCGGCTTCACCTCTCTGAGCCTCAGTCCTTGCTTGTAAGAGGAGAGAGATCAACTCCACAGCCTTGGTGTGAGAAATAAATGAGGGCGCACCTGGCATATAGTCAGGTGCTCGGGAACAGCGCTACAATGATGCGGAGCATCTGCCTTTTGGGGGTACCACTATGACTGCCCACAACCCACGGTGCCCAGGGCCCTGGGGAGGGGATACTTCTGCACTAAGGTTGTCTCCACTGGCCAACCGTGGGGCTCTCAGCCCAGGAAATGACACGGAGGGGACACTCCAGGGGTCGGGCTCCCCATACTCACATCGTCAACCTTTGGCTCCGTCACAGGGACCCACTTGTAGATTCGCAGGGATGTGTCGCCCACGGTCACCCACTTCTTCTCCCTGCAGAGGAGGAGAAAGAGTCCATTACCTCCGTTACCAGGGGCCTCAGGGCGGCTCTGGATTCAGAGGATGAGCTCCGGGGCACACAGGTGGGCTCCACCTCAGCTCTGCTGCTCACTGGGCCCCCGGGCAAGTACCTGCCCCTTCTGAGCCTCCGCGTCCCCATCGGCTAGCCCACCCCACGTACGCATGTCCATCTCTCCAGGCTGCCGTGAGAACGACCGAAGGCGACACGTGTTCAAGTCTTAGGTGCCTGGAAGTGCGTGGTGAGACCAGGGGAGGAGAGGGGCTGCCATTGGGCACACCCCTCTGGACCAGGGGAGCCGAGCCCCGTGCCTCCAGCTTCTGCCCCAGAGAGCCGGCGAACCAGGCCGCCCAGCCCCTCCGGGCAGCAGAGAGGGTTTCAGACCAGCCAGGTGTTTCCTCCTGGGGTGGGGGTGGGGGGCTGTGGGGCTGAGGTCGGGGGAGGGGAGCAGGAGCACACAGCTGGCCTAACCACCAGTTGCTCTGCCATCGGGAGCAGCAGAGGGGGCGGGGCAAACCTGGATGCCCAGGGGCCTCGCCCAAGGACAGTCCCAGGTGCTGATCCGGAGGCAGCAGCCGGCTGGAGAGGTGCCCCGAGCCCCCGCTCCCTGGTCCTGAGACTGGCACGTGTTTCGTGGTCTTGTTGCCAAAGGCCTACGTCTGTGCAGCTGCCCCGACCCCTGCCCAGCCGCACCCTAAACTCCAGGGCCCCCGAAGCTAGAGGCAGGTTTATGGGTGAAGAGGAGAAAACCACAGGCCACGAGAAGGAAAGGGGGTGATGGTTTCCATTAAGGATAATAATGACCACTCTCTCCTCCCCACCACTCTGCTCCGAGCCACTGTCGTTCTCGATTATTGTCACAGCCTTAGAACTTCTGTCCTTGACCCCCTGCAGCCCCTAAACCAGGTCGCATCACTTCCTGCCAAACACTGGGAGTGACACCCAGAGGCCACACACCTGAGGGCACCTAGGCTCCGCCCAACGGAGAGCTGGGATGCAAACCCAGGCAGTTCTGGCTCCGGGCTGCGGGCTCCGGGCTGCGGGCTCCGGGCTCCACCATCCCAGAAGAAGCGGGAGTCATGAAGGATCTGTCTACTGCTCCAGGAGGATCAGCTGATCCAAGGGACTGACTGTGGGCGGTGGGCCCGGCGCACACCTGGAGCAGGTGGGGTCGCTGCCAGGAGCCCTCAGCAGTTTCAGTGACCGGTTCCACCAGAACCCAGAACGAACCGTGGCGTGAGCCCCTCTGCTCCTGAGCTGTCGAGCACCTTCTGCAGCTCCCTACACCTCAGCCTTAGGTTTCCCCCGCCATGTGGGGGCGCCATGGGCTGGGGGGACACGTTACCGCCACCCCTTCACCACCTGGGGTTCTGGGTATCCGAGCACACTCAAAACCACCTAACCCAAACCACAGACACCTTTAATCCCCAAACTGCCTGTTCGAGCCCTGCCTGTTCCCTCCGGAGGGAGCTAGGGCCTCGCTTTTATTATTATACCAGTGACCGTCTCTAGTGTGTTTTATGCGCTAAGCGCTGGACACACCTGCTCTAATCGTCCCATACCCTTGTGTGGCAGGAAGCTGTCACCTTCCCCATTTGACAGATAAAGAAACGGTGGCACGCACATGGAGGTGAAGTCATTCTCCCCAGAGCCAGTATGCAACCTTCCCTGCACGCTGCTGTCCGGAGTGGTCTCTGCCCTGCCCTGCCCTGCCCTGCGGCCCAGAAAGAAGGAAGTAAAGGCAGGTCTTTAAATCACCGCCCACCTGCCTCCGGCCTCCTGGAGGAAAGAGGGACAAATCCACAACCCCAGCCTTTCCCCACCTCCATTCTGAATAGTCAGAAGGTGCCAGGAAGGGACAGGAACGTTCCAAGAAACAGTCTCAGTGACAAAGCAACAATCACAATAGCCATTGTGTGCCGAGGCTTCGTGCCAAGCATTTCACTTACATGCTCTCTCGCTCAGAGATTGCCAAGAGGGACTACTATCACCCCACTCTATAGATGGGGAAGCGGGAGGTCTGGAGAGGTTGTACCACGAGTTCCCAGGCTCGGACCCCAGAGCCTACTTTGTGCCACGGAGACCCATTCCACAGAGCACGCCCGGAACAGGGTGGGCAGACGTGCCTACGCTGGAATCCTGTGCCAGTGGCCAAGCCCTCAACTGGCTGCCTGGGCCCGGGCCCCAGGAGGTCAGCAAATCCAGGTTAGTGTTTAAAAAAAAAAAAGGGAATTGACTTGCAATACACAAGATCCCTTTCAGGGCAGAAAGTGCACCAGATCTGGGTCTGCTGGCCAGCACCAGGCAGGATGAATGTGTGCAGGGGCCTCCTAGAGAGGCTCCGGGCCCTGCAGGTTGTGAGCTCGACGGTCAGGGCCTCCTGTCGCTCCAGCGGGCAACCCTCGGCCTGGGTCCCTGGCCCACTGTGCTTCAGCTACATTCCTAGCTGTGGACACTGAAGGGCTACAGGCAGAACGCGGAGAGTTCTGAACGCCAACCTCAGCCCTCGGAGGTTTGGCTCAGGAGTTAAGGGCACTGGTCTGTGGACCAAAGGGTTGCCAGTTCGATTCCCAGTCAAGGGCACGTACCTGGGTTGCCGATTAGATCCTCAGCTCTGGTCAGGGTCTTGGGGGAGGCAACCAGGTGATGTGTCTCTCACATCGATGTTTCTCTCTCTCCCATCCTCCCTTCCAATCTATCTAAAATATCACTGGGAAAATATCCTCCGATGAGGATTGACAACAACAACAAAAAGAACCTGACCTCTGGCCTGCCATCTGGCCAGCAGCCACCTAGGCAGAGACAGGGCCCCAGAGCTCAGGTGTAAGTCACTGAGCAAGTACCGGGGAGGCTCAGACGTGTACAGTGAGCTCCAGGGGTCTCATCAAGCTGGTGGCTTGGCAGCACCTTAGGAAATACACCACGTGGGCTCAGAGGAGCAGCTGAGCTCCCACTACTGCCCCCAAACCCATCACCCAGGGCACACAGCCCCCATCCCCAATGAGGGTACTAAGCTGTAGTTATTACCTTCTATCTCCGGTGGCAAACAAGTGGCCAATAGGTTTGTTTTGTCTGGCCTGCATGGTACTTTTAGAAATTTGAAGCAATTGCCAAACTCTACCAAAAAACAAAAGAAGTCAGACAACATAAAAATCCAGATTCCTGCTCCCAAAAACACGATCTGACGAGGGGCCCACAGACCTCGCCCCCAGGGAGCAACGGCGCTCTTCCGATGGGACTCAGTCTCCCTCCGATCCCCCAGCTCTTCCCCCCTGGAGACACTGGGTACCGGGAACCACCCCAACCTTGACATGAAGCCACCCTGGGCGGACCCTGAGCCCTCCCACCATGATGGCCCCCAGCAACCAGCAGTACTTAAGTATCTCTCTCATCCCCATCAGACTTGGGCTCCTGGATGAAAAGACTAAATGGGGTCCTCACTCTATAAATAGAGCCCCAACCGCTCCTCAGCACAGGCTCCTATACAAACTACAAGCACCCATCCCAGATTCTCCAGGCCAAGGCCAATTTCCAATGTTTTCCCAGGTCCAGGTCCAAGGGCAAGACCATCTTGGGGTCACCTGGCTCCCTCAAAGAGAGCTCTCAATCTCTCACTTTGGATTCATTTCCCAGGGCTAGTCCTTGACTCCTCAGGAGGCCAGGCTAGGCCAAGACCCACACGACCTGCCCTGTGCCTGGCAGTAGGGTACCCCAGGAGGTCCTGAGGGTGAGGCCTTAGGCACAAATCTCCCCCTCCTGCAGGGACAGCGGGAAGTCCTCAGACCAAGCCTTTGCTTCTTGCCCAATGACTCCCCTCCCCTGCTCTTCTCTCTACCCACACTGGGCCTCCTAACCCTGGCCCAGTTTCCCGAAAAAGGGCCACCATTTTGTCCTTCCCTCAGCCATCTTCCGCTGCCTCACACTCTACCAGCCTGTCCTGCTGGGACAGCAGACAGAAAGGGTAGGAGGGACAGTGGCTACAGTCAGGGTGGTTGGTCACGGCTGGCTGCTGGCTTTTTCCAGGGACAGGGGAAGGGCAGGGCTGGCAGAGGGGGGATGGCTGGGGTCACTGGGGCTGGGGAGAAATACCACCCTAGGCTACCAGGCTGAATGGTACGCCCGACACTGCCATTATCCTCCGGGTAAAATACAGAGTGCTGAATCAAATCTGAACTTCAGATAAACAATGAATAATTTGCTAATATAAGTATGTCTCAAATAGTGCACAGGACACACGTATGATTTAAAGAAGTATTTTTTTTTAGCATTATTTTGTTTACCTGAAATTCAAATTTAACTCAGTGTCCTGTGAATTTATTTGCTAAAACTGGCAACCCAGCTGCCCAGCCAGTGGTGACTGCATGGTTGGTGGCCACACAGTTAATAAACAACCCAAAGTCTGGAGGATGGACTGGAAGTCCATCCTAGAGGCACTGTGAAGGTGAGATTTGGTTTCTTCAGGCTGGGCAAACCCAAGACAGAAGGCAAAGTCTTTTTTTTGTTTTGTTTTGTTTTGTTTTTGCTTAGAAGGGACAGGGAAAAAAAAGAAAGAAAGAAATCAGCAAAACGTAAGTTTCTCCAGAGTCCACCCTACCATCAAGACAATATTGAATGACTGCTCCTGTGTGCAGAATAAGTGCTGCTGGAGACATGATCTTATTCGGGGAGGGGTGGGAGAAAGCAGCTCAGGAGCCCCTTGCCGCCAAGGTTAGAGAAGTTACACGGTTTGCCCAAGGTCACCGAGAGGAAGTGAACTGGATGCCCGGCCCTGAGGTCCCAAAGCCTGAGGTCTTCGGAGGACATGACAATTTGTTTCCCAAAACACAGGGAGAGAGATCTGTTCTCTTCCCCTCCCCCCAAGCACAGGCCTGGCCTGCAGTGGGGCCTGGGGTGGAAAACCCCATAGCTCCATCTGCCCTCCCTGCAAAGCAGCTGGCAGGCGGGCCCAATGGGAGCAGCTGTCAGGGTGCAGGTTCTCTGCCCCACTGGGAACCTGGGACAGAAGACCCAACCACGCCTCCTGGAACAGAGAAGGTGGGGCAGCTTTCTCCCAGCCCCTTCCTCACCTCCAGACGGGTGACAGAAGGGACTCAGGCCCAGACACCAGTTTCCTTTGCACAGGCTCTAATGGAACAGCCCCAGCCTTCCCTCTGGGACTCCCACAGGAGAAGGGGCCGTGGGCTTGTTTTCCTGTGTGTGTTTTGGCCTGCAGCTGTTTCTGCCATTTTTAAATGGCTCCAGTCGGGCACCGGGTGCCCTGCGCCCTAGGGGAGCTCCCACGCCACCGAGGGCTTGGATCTCAACTTTGGAAAGCCTCCCCTTCTCACGGTTCTGAAAATTCTTTGTCCCATTGGAGCCAAACCCAGCCCTCCGCCGGGCATCCGGCCATCTGCAGACAGCCCTTTCCATAGGAGGCCCCGGAGCACGTGGACTTTATTGATTTTCCTCTTGCCTTTTTTGTTGGGTTTGACTCAGAAAGGACAGCTAACTTGCGACACGGCTAGACTGGATCCTCGCCCCCTGGGGTTTTTAGAGACCGAGGCGTTACTCAAGAAATGACACCCCTAAACATAAACATAGCCCGCCCCAGGGGGCCCCCGACCAATTTTCAGGCTTTAAATGAAAGGTCAGGACGAGCCCGCTGGCGCTGACACTCGAGCACGTCGCGGCTGCTCCTCTGCCTCCCTGACCCTGGCGAAGCCGTGGGAAAAAAATAATAAAAGTTGAAATGAGGGAGCTGGGAGTTTTCAACAAGTCCGCCCCAACCTGGCGATCCGCTGCGCCTCGGGCCTGGCCCTCGGCCGATTCGGAGTCAGACCCCGCCGAGGCCGCAGACGGCCGGTCCTGTTCACAGCACCAGGCCACGCCGGACACTCCCGCGCGAGCTGGAGGAACACGCGCGGCCAACCCCGAGTCCCCGTGTCCCCGGACTCGGGGAACAAAACAACGGCTCCCTCCGCAAAACAAACACGAGCCGCCGGCTTGGGAAATGAAGACGCGGCCCAGGACCCGTTTCTGGCCCAAACCCTTCGCTCGTCCGAGCCCCGCGCCCGGGGCCGGGCTGGGAGGGAGCAGGGGGTGCCCAGCGCCCCGGGCCCCGCGGCGTCCCCTCCCGCGCTCGCCCCCATCTTGCTTCCCCGCCAAGAGCCCTCGCTCCAGGCAGCCCAAAGCGCTAAATTTAAACGGCTCGCGCTCTGCAAACTCCGCAGACTCGAGGGCGCCGGGCCTGGGAGGAGGGGAGCGGGGGAGCGAGCGAGCCAGCCGGGGAGGGAGCCAGGGAGCGAGGCCCGGCGCGGGCAAGGGCGCGGGGGCCGGCGCTGCGCCGCCCGGGGCGCGCGGGGAGGAGACGGGGACGGCGGGGCCCGCTCGGCGCCGCACAATGGAGCTCGCGCTCCCCTCCGCCGCCGGCATCGCGGCCCCGGCGCGCGGGAAGCCGCTTTCATGTGACTTGCACAAAACGAAATGGCTTCTGGGGCCGGCCCCGAGCCCCCTCCCGGGAGCGGCGAGCGCGGCGGGGACTGCCCGCCGCTCGGCCGCCCGTCCGGGGCGCCCCCGCCTCCGGGCTGCCGCCGCCGCCGCGCCAGGTGGGCGACAGGCGCGAGCGCACCTGGGCAGCGGCCGCGGCCCCGCCAGCGCAGGTGACCGGCTCGCGCCGCCCGCCCTCTCCAACTCCGGGCCCGCGGCGCCGGGCGCTGCGCCCGCGGCTTTTTGTACGCGCCCGGGGTGGCGCGGCCGCGAGCGGCGCCCCCGCTTACCATTTGCGCACTTTCTCGATAGCCGCCATGACCCTCTTGATATCATCTTTGGCCCGGCTCCTGGTCTCGGCTCGAACCGACCTGCCCGACATGGTTCTGGCGGGGAGAGAGGCTGCGAGCGCGCCGCCGGGTCCTGCTCGCGCTCCGCGGCGGCCACACTCGCGCCCGCCCGCCCGCCGCTCACTCGCAGACTCGCAGACTCGCACACTCACACACACTCACACACTCACACACTCACACACACACACAAAGCCGCGCGCCCGGGCCAGTGCGCAAGCGCCGGGCGGCAGCTGCACCGAGCAGGGGGAGCAGCGCCGCCGCGGCCGCCAGCAGTGCGGCCTCGGGAGCCGCCGCCGCCGGGCCTCCGGCCTCCCACCCACCCTGGGGAGGCGGCGACGGGGCCCGCGGCCGGGCCCGCGGCGGGGCGGCGGGCGGGCGCGCGCGCGGACACCCACCCGGAGGCCGCAGGTGCCGCGGGGCCCCGGGGAGGGCGGCCGCGGCGGGGCGCGTTGCTCGGGAGCCAGCCCGGCGGCTCGCCCGCCGCCCGGGTCTGCGGCAGCGGTGCAGCAACGCAAGTTTCCTGCGGGCTCCTGACTTGGCGGAGTTGGAGGTGGCGATCCCGCCGCGAGGTGCTCCTGGAGAGAGTTGAGCAACACGCTGCCCCGCGTAAACACGCGCGCTAGGGCGCCGCTTCCCTTCCTGCGTCCTTCTGGAAACCTGGGGTCAGGGGAAAGGTGCCTGGGGCGGGGCTGGCCACGAGGGACACTGGCCCTCGGTTATTAAATGGCTTTCAGCAGAGAAAGTTCCATGGTGGTCAGCGTTTTGGAGGACTCTTGTTGTTTCTTCCCCATCCTGCCCCAAGACAGCTCTGGAGGAATCTCGTTACCAGGACAACCCAGATGCCACATCTGTGTTCAGGTGTAGCTAAACCGACCTGACCTGAGCTCATTTATGCCCAGATGGATGCTGGGGAAACTGGGAGTGACCCTGGCAGCAAGCTCGGTGCCACTTCACACGTGGGGACACTAAGTCATGGGGAAGTTCAAGGCCACAGCCATAAAGCAGCTCTTTGACTCCCACTCACCCTGAAAACAAGCATTTTGCCCTGAGGTTTTGATTTGGGGTAGAAAAGCGACGGGGTAATGGAGTGGGGACTGCACTGCAGGCCTTTTCCTCGGCATATCTCTCTGCTCATCTGAACCCCAAGTTCCTAGTAGGAAAATGAAGAGAACACCTACCTCAGAGAATCACTCAGGGGAAATAGTAACCTCAGTCCTAATGCAGAAGTCTATTGTTGGCCCTCTGACAGGCTCAGGTCAGCAGATATGTGCTTAGGGCCACACAACTGTTTTTTATATATTTATAGCTATAGACATAATTTAAAATAGGAAGATAACATATCAGAAATCCAAACATCAACTGATTAATGCATATATTAATCGGCCATTTAAAAAGGAATGAAGCCCTGGCCGGTTTGGCTCAGCGGTTGGAGTGTCGGCCTGCGGTGCAGAGAGACCTGGGTTCGGTTCCCGCTAAGGGAATGTACCTCGGTTGCAGTTTGGCAGCCATTCGATGTGTCCCTTCACATCGATGTTTCTCTCTCTCTCTCTCTCTCTCTCTTCCTCTCTCTCCCTCTCGCTCTATCTGAACAAAAAAATGGAAAAATGTCCTCGGTTGAGGATTAAAAAATATATATATATATATAAAGGAATGAAGTACTGACACATGAAGTACTGACAACATGGATGAACCTTGTAAACATGCTAAGTGAAAGACGCCAGTCACTAAAGGACAAATAGCACATGATTCCACTTACATGAGATATGGCCACTAGACAAAGCCACAGAAACAGAAAACAGATTGGTGGTTGCCAGGGACCATGGGAATGAGAGTGACTTCCAGTGGACATGGGGTTGAAAAAGTTCTGTAGGAAAAGGTTCTGGTGGTGCTGACTGCACAGCATTGTGAATATGCTTAATGCTACTGAGCTGCGCACTTAAAAATGCTTACAATGGTCAATTTTATGTTATGTGTATTTTGCTACAATAAAAAGAAATCCAAATATCCACCTAAAATCTATATAATTTTATTAACCAATATCACCCTAATAAATTTAATTAAAAATAAAGAAATAAAGAAAACAAATAGGGACTTCCGGTCAGGATGGCGGATAGGTAACCGCGGTATCAAGTCCTCCCACAACCACATCAAAGTTACAACTAAACTACAGAACAACCATCACTCAAAACCGCCTGAAATCAAGCTGAATGGAAGTCCTACAACTACAGAATTAAAGCAGCAGCCACATCCAGACTGGTAGGAGGGCAGAGGGGACGGGCTGGTCCCACACCCACGTGTGGCGGATAAAAATCAGGAGGTAAACCTCGGCTGGGAAGGTCCTCCCTAAGGACTAAGGGGTCCCCGTCCCACAACAGGTGCCCCGCTCAGGGTTCCAGTGCCAGGAAGAGAATCCCCATCACTTCTGGCTGGAAAAACCAGCGGGAACTGAGGCTCAGGGAGGCTGAGGCAGCTGGAGCCCCAGGCAGCTCCTTAAAGGGCCCGCGCACGGACTTACCAGACTCTCTCCCTCTAAGCTCGGAGGGGAGGCAGCTCGAGGGGCGCCAGAGACATACAGGGAAGAACTGAGCTGTTTGGCACTGGAACAAGGGCTGGAGAGGGGTTTTCTCCAGGACAGACGTGCTGTCAGAGGCCTTTGTTCCTTTGGTGAGCCCTTCCCTGGGGCAGCAGACAGCCCCCATATCTGGGACTCCAGCAACCTGGCTCATACTGGTTGCCCCGCCCTGGTGATTCCTTGAGGCCCCGCCCCACCCAACTTTCAGGCCCACCCAAGCTGCTGCCAGTTGCTTCACCATAGTATTGGCCTGTCTTGGATCCTGCTTCAGGTTTTCCTAAATTCTTTCAAATAAGCAGCATCTGGTCTCAGCTAGCCCCATACCTCTCATTAGGTAATACATAGAAACAAACACAGGGAGACTGCCAAAAATGAGGAGACAAAGAAACAGGTCCCAAATGAAAAAACAGAAAAAATCTCCAGGAAAAGAACTAAGCGAAATGGAGATAAGCAACCTAACAGATGCTGAGTTCAAAATACTGCTTATAAGGATGCTCAATGAACTTAGTGAGGGCCTCAAGAGCATAAAAAAGGACCAGTCAGAAATGAAGGATGCACAGTCAGAAATGAAGGAGGCACTAACAGAAATAAAGAATAACTTACAGAGATTCAATAGTAGAGTAGGTAAAGCCAAGAAGCAAACCATCGATTTGGAATGTCAGGAAGCAAAAAACGCCCAATCAGAACAACAAAAAGAAAAAAGAATCCAAAAAAATGAGGACAGTGTAAGGAGCCTTGGGGACAACTTCAAGCGTGCCAACATTCTCATCATAGGGGTGCCAGAAGGAGAAGAGAGAGAACAAAAAATCGAAAACCTATTTGAAATAATAATGGCAGAAAACTTCCCTAACTTGGTGAAGGAAACAAGACATACAAGTCCAGGAAGCACAGAGTCCCAAACAAGATGAACCCCAAGAGGCCCACACCAAGACACATCATCATCAAAATACAAAAGGTTCAAGACAAAGAAAGAATCTTAAAAGCAGCAAGAGAAAAGCAGTTAGTTACCTACAAGGGAGTTCCCATAAGACTGTCAGTTGATTTCTCAAAAGAAAATTTGCAGGTCTTGGCCAGTTTGGCTCAGCAGTTGGAGCGTCGGCCTGCGGTACAGAGAGACTCGGGTTCAGTTCCCGCTAAGGGCACGTACCTCGGTTGCAGTTTGTCCCCAGCCCTGGTTGGTTGTGAGGGTGGCAGCCACTCGATGTGTCCCTTCACATCGATGTTTCTCTCTCTCTCTTCCTCTCTCTCCCTCCCACTCTATCTGAACAAAAAAAGGAAAAATGTCCTCGGGTGAGGATAAAAAAAATTAAAAAAGAAACTTTGCAGGCCAGAAGGGAATGGCAAGAAATATTCAGAGTGATGAAAAGCAAGAACCTACAACCAAGATTACTCTACCCTACAAAGCTGTCATTTAGAATCGATGGCCATATAAAGAGTTACCCAGTCAAGAAAAAGTTAAAGGAGTTCATCACCACCAAACTGTTATTATATGAAATGTTGAAGGGTCTTTTTGAAGAAAAAGATAAAATATATGAACAAACAAAATGACAATGAATACATATCTATCGACAATGAAATCTACAAACAAAATGAACAGGTAGAACAGAAACATTCTCATAGACACAGAGAACATTTTCTTGGTTGCCAGATGGGAGGGGGGTTGGGGGAATGGGTGAAAAAGGTGAAGGGATTAAGAACAACAAATTGGTTGCTAGACTGACAAACCTCAACAAGGGGTTGGGGGAGGGGGGCAGAAATAAACCAAAGAACTTATATGTGTAACCAATGGACACAGACAACAGTGTGGGGAAAGGCGGAAAGGGGGTGGGAGTGGGGAGGAGGGGGTCAATGGGGGAAAAATGAGGAACATCTGTAATACATTCAACAATAAAGTTTTTTTTTTTAAAAAGATGAAAGAAAACAAATATCCAGCTTTTCTGGAAAGAGCAGAAGATGTACAAATCGGGCCCCCAGTGCCACATGGCAATGACTAGCTGGAGATGAGGAGCCCTGTGCCCCCACACAGAGCTCTCAAGGTCACCAGTCCCATTACTCATTGTGTGACCAGATGGCCCCAAAGGAATTTGTTTTTGATCTCTGATTCAACTGTAAATGTTTTTTTTTGTTGTTGTTGTTGTTTTTATCCTCACCCGAGGACATTTTTCCATTTTTTTGTTCAGATAGAGTGGGAAGGAGGGAGAGGAAGAGAGAGAGAGAAACATCGATGTGAAAGGGACACATCAAGTGGCTGCCACCTGCACGACCAACCAGGGCCGGGGACAAACTGCAACCGAAGTACGTGCCCTTAGCGGGAACCGAACCCGGGTTTCTCTGGACCGCAGGCCGATGTTCTAACTGCTGAGCCAAACTGGCCAGGGCTGTAAATGTTTTTTTTATAAATCTAGTATGTCACTTTTTATAGTTTCTTGTCCCCTGCAGACACTTTAAAACTTCTTTGTGTCATCAATGCACAGTTGCTTTGTAGTCTGCATCTGATAGGTCTAATATTTGAAGGGTCTGAGGCTCTGTTCCTGCTGCTTCTTGCCCATGGTGTCCCGTTTCCTTGTGATCTGCCTGGTTCTCTTTGACTATGCGGAACACTGTATTTTAAAATGTACT